GTTCTAATGACTGGTGGGAAGTTCCATGTATTTTACCTCTATGGGATCATCATCAAAGTCATTGATACCAATTAGTGGTTGGTGATCCTGGCTATTGTAACCAAGTGTAAACAACAGTCTTTGGAATTTTTACAAGAGGCCAAATGTGACCAATTGTTCCATCTTCTAGGAACATATAAAAAGACAGCATTATAAATGGGGGATAAGTGGTGTCATATATCCTCCTCTGTTGAGAGATGGTTCCCTATTCTGGTGTAAATAGCCTCCTTCACTCCTCTTTTAAACCATCTGTCTTCCCCATCCAAATACAGTAATGGAATCACAATGTTGTTGCATTTTCCTCCTTGTCTTTACCTCTCGTATGAAAGATGAGGATAGCAAGAACAACAACGTGGCTTTTTTTGGAGTGTGGCATACACATTGAAGAGGACCGGAACCTCCACATTGGAGTATACAGGAAACCCACACACACAGACCAGTACTTACGTAAAACTATCACAACCTACTAGAGCACAAGCAAGGAGTTGTCAAAACTCTGCACCACCAAGTTGATAATGTACAAACAAGTGCCCTCAGAGAAGGAGTACAAAAAACTGAAGGATGAAGTTAATTGTGGATAATCTAACTGGACCCAATATGAAAACAACCACAAGATCCAGGAAGAACTCTAATACTGTGGTTGGTGAAGAAACGAGGAAAGAACTGCTTCATCGTCATTCCATACATGTCAGGAGTGTCAGAGAACCTCAAGAGGATTTTCAACAAACACCACATCCCTGTGTTTTTCCAACCCAGCCACAAACTAAGATAGAAACTGGTCCACCTGAAAGACCCCACCCCAAACACAAGAACAGCAACATAGTGGATGCTCTCCAGTGCAGTGAGGAATGCACAGATTTGTATATCGGGGAAAGCAAACAACCATTAATCAAACGTATGGCTCAACACAGGAAGGGTAACTTCTCAGTTTAAGACTCTACCTAAATCTGGGGAATAAGGGACACTCTTTTGAAGACAACAACATACATATTTTGGATAGAGAGGACTGATAGTTTGAAAGAAGAGTGAAGCAGGCTATCTACTTCAAAGTAGAGAAACCATCTCTCAAGAAAGGAGGATATCTACCAAAGTTATCCCGTACATATAATGCTGTCCTTCATCTCTTTCCCAGGAGAGTGAAAATTCCAAAGACTGTTTTTTACAATTGGCCTCAGTTGACTCCATGGACCTTACCATTTCAGTGGCAACAGGGGTGACGAAAAATGTTATTGCCAGTCACTACTAGCCTTGTGGTAAATGTCATGACAGGACATGGTGATCAATCATGAGAGAAATAACTTTTTAACATATGTTTATGTGGTAACAGGGTTGACACACTGAGCTTGTCCCACTACCAAAAAAAATCCATTATAGGAGGTGACAATTACTTGACTTTTACCATAAACTTCATAAAAAGGCAAGTGATGTCACTTCCTGGGAATTATGCAACTTTACTTAGGGACACGCCATTTTCAACATTTCCGCAAGATGCTTTGCACTAAAAAGTGATTAAAATTATAAAATATTTTATTTGTTTTATGGTTTATTAAGATTTAAAGAGCTTTTTTCCCTGAGAGACTTAAAATGGCACGTTTTCGTATAATGACCCCGTTCATTCTGTTGTTAGAGATCAGAGCCTGAAAACCCGCTCCAGGGTTTGGTTGACGTGGTTTGATTTCCGAAGTGTCTCCGTGATTCATGTTTTGAGAGTGATTTTTCTTTCAGTTTCTTCTCTTCAAGATGGCGTTTCTCTTTTCTTTGTTCTGTGAGTTTCCCGCGGCGCATGCACGCTGCAGCATGTGTTGTGTCGGGAGCGTGCAGAACAAACAATGATGGTGAAAAATTAATCGGTCACTAGATTTCCTCGTGTGTTGGTGAGGTTATCACAGTGACAAATAGTCTGCCTGCATTATCGTGCTTGTTTCAGCTCTAAATAGTATTTGTGGAGACTCTTTGTAGACATCAGCAGTCTTTCCTCTAGGAGTCCAATGAAGGTTAAAGTCAAGGGCAACTGGACTTGGTTGAAGATACTGGAAGTCGTTTCGAAACGAGGGGTTTGGGGCTCCTCCCCCAAGAAAATTTTATGTTTTCCAATGAAAAATATGTAATTTAACATCATATAGGGCCATTATTTTCAGCTAGAGCAGTTAATAAATAACCAACAGCCAAAGATCAGTCTGCTGGAGGAACTACAACCTTTAGATCTGGAGAAAGTAATTTGGTTGGTTCTGTTGCTCCACAGTGATTTTACAGTGAAGGCACAGCATGTTTTGGACGTCACCCCTAAGCCTTAACGGCAGGAAAACCCTGTTAATATGACCTCATTATATATACGACTGTTCATGTTTGCCTTTTGTGTCTTCATTTTACAGCTTCCGGCATTTATCTGTAGACATTAATATAAAAAATAGGCAGCATGAGAAACCTCCTCCCTTCTGAGGTGCATTTTATTTGCACATTAAAATCCAAAAAGAATTCTCCTCGTTAGCTTAAAAGGACTAATTTGCATCACTAATTAGCTTTACTAACCTCCGTCCTTTCTTTTCCAAAACCACTTTTTCAGACTAAAAACTGAAAAATAATTGAATCAGCAGGACGGAGCTGCAGGCTACATCAGTTTAGTCTAAGTTTGTACCTGATGTGCTCAACATTTGAAAAGTAAGCAGTAATAAAATACAGCTATCAGTTACTTTCTATAAATTGAGCTAATGTTAAGTGACATAGCGGCTCCGTAGCTGCTGTAGAAGCTGCTCAGCTGCAGTCTGAAGATGTTAGCTAACTTAGCACTAACAGGCTTCACTTTTCCAGCAGGTAGGAAACAACAGACTTTTCTTGGTCTTGAGAAGCTGACACTCTGTAACAGACACCGCACATTTATTGCCAGAATATTTTCCTCCGCTCGCGTTCATCACTTTCTGCCGCTCGGACAAGAAAACGCTCGCTACGCACCTCCTGATTCAGAGTTACGCTGCTCTTATAACACCATCTGTCACGTATGTTCTGCATAGAACGAGGAGAGGAAGCGAGCCGAGCAGTGCCGTGCTGTGCTCGCACAGTGTGCGAGTGAAAACATTTGTAGCTCATAGTTTAATGATCGTGGGAAATTTTAGGAGCGGCGGACCGCAAATAAATTTGCAAAAATAGCTGCCGTTTTAGCCGCTAGAAAAAGTTACTGCAAAGCATGGGATACTTCCTGTCGGCTCGGAGGCATTGCGAGGCTACCCAGCCGACCAATCACAGTGCTTACGGTCCGCGTCAACGTAGTTATATTTTTGAGGAGGTGCACGTCAGGTGACAGCGTAGCCTCTGTGTAGCCCCGTAGCCTACACCGGCGATTCGACACAGAAGTTACACTTTAGTGAATTGGTGGTGTCCATGATCACAGTGTTTTCAGAATATTTAATGTATGTTATACCTGGGTTAGTGCTCCTGCAGTCATCACTGTGTATACAGAACCAGTGAGGATACGAAAGCCTTGCTTCTTGGAAGAACTGAAGTGGGTTTATGTCCATTTATGAAGTAGTCCATGAAAAACACAATTATGTCCGCTGATGATCATGTATCATCATATGTGGATGTTTATTATCAAAATAAAATTAAATGTGAAAGGAATGGATAATGATGTCTCTCACACATTTAATTTCACTGTCGCATGTTATCTCTTTATCATTTAAATATTTAAAACAGCACTGGTATTTGTGCTTGTGCTATTGAGCCATAACGATTCCATATCGCACCTTTCGATAGATAGATAGATAGATATAGATAAACTTTTGTCATTTCACCTTGTATTTCCATACACAGAGAAACGAAAATTTTTTTCTCATCAGCTACTTTTGTAGTGCATTTAAAAGGACAATAAGAAATAAATAACCCAGCCGGAGACGTGAAGGCAACACAGAGGAATTCGCGTTAGTTGAATATTTTCAACTCAAGCGAGAAAGCTGCATGATGCTGATTCGCGATAGCCTATCAGTGTTGAGATTGTCCGTGACTGAGGCTTCAGAGCATTGTGTGGAGAGGGCCAGGCAGAGCGGTCGATTGAAAATCTGTAGAGCAGGTAGAAGCTCGGGTGCCTTTCATGCAGTCGTGAGCATAAAGAAGCTGTCACAGTAACTTTTCGTGAACTGACCAATCACAGCCTGGAGGGGGCAAAACATTAAAGTTTGATGCGCTAGTATGGTGATATCATTTTCCTCGATAACAATATAACAAATGTTTAATTAAGTGTTTGATTTAATTCATTTGAATCACAAACAAATCGGTGAATTTTTCTATTAAGATATTTATTTTGTTGAGAAAAAGGGACTGAAAGATTCCCTCCATCCATTGTCAACCGCTTATCCTGCGTACAGGGTTGTGGGGGGGTTGGAGCCAATCCCAGCTGACATCGGGCGCAAGGCAGGGTACACCCTGGACAGGTCACCAGTAGACTGAAAGATTACTTAATTTAAATTTATTTAATCAGAATTGTTTTGAATGTTTGTTTTACCTCAGATTTTTTAAGTGATCCACTGGCATCAAGTTACATTTATCATGAGAATTGTTGATATTGAATGATATGAAATGTTTTATTGTGATAACATCTCCGGCCATATTGCCAGCTCTAAGTACCAGCACCTATATTTAATGCTCAAAATCAAATGAAAACAGTATACAGCTATCTTATCGCCTTGTTCTTGTGAACCCATTATCCTGTTACGCTTTTGCCCCCTTGTCGTAAACATCAAACACATTTCAGGCACAGAAAAATGTCTTGCTTTAAGCCCTGTACTCATAATGTGGTACAGTAGGTTAGCATGTGATTTCAAAGATGTGCTCTAACGTCATTTATGGTTATAGATAGCTCGCTGCACCATGACATCCCACTTACTGTTTTTCTCTCTGTTGATATAGAGAAGGAGAAGAAGAGATGGAATCAAACATCATCGCTGTCAGCACTGTGACAAATCCTTCACAACATCTGGATATTTGAAGATTCATCAGAGACTTCACACTGGAGAGAAACCGCACAGCTGTGACCAGTGTGGGAAAACTTTCACTGCATCAGGTAACCTAAAAATCCACCAACGTGTTCACACTGGAGAGAAACCGTACAGCTGTGACCAGTGTGGGAAAACTTTCACTGCATCAAGTGACCTGAAAAAACACAAACGTGTTCACACTGGAGAAAAACCTCACCGGTGTGAACAGTGCGAAAAAACTTTCACTCAATCAGGTGCCCTAAAAATCCACCAACGTGTTCACACTGGAGAGAAACCGTACTGGTGTGAAAAGTGTGGGAAAACTTTCACTCAATCAGGTGCCCTAAAAATCCACCAACGTGTTCACACGGGAGAGAAACCGTACAGCTGTGAAAAGTGTGGGAAAGCTTTCACTTTATCAGGTGCCCTAAAAATCCACCAACGTGTTCACACTGGAGAGAAACCATACTGGTGTGAACAGTGTGGAAAAACCTTTTCTCAATCAGGTGACCTAAAAAAGCACAACACAACACAGCACAACAACAGAAGTACCCGTAGAAGACACAAATGCATTCACAAAGCATCAGTGTGACAGTTTTCACAGAGCCGAGCTAGCGGTTTCCTCCTGCCCTGAATACAATACTAATACTGAGGAAGTTTGATTTTGAAAGAGCTGGAAAGCGTCAGTCCAGAGGGTTTATAAATTCAATTCAGTTTTATTATTATCACAGCATATGCTATGCTAAAAGTGTGTGTGAATGTATATATTTCTATTGCATAGCCAAAATTACTAGATAGGCAGGGTGCAACGACTGTGGGATTTTTCTGTGTGGTGTAACGTTAGGCCCAGGTATCTACAGCATTTCACTCTCATACTCCCCTAAAAATAAATCCTTGCGAACCGGAAAACTGATTTACAAGTCAGTTACAACCGAACGTAATCTTCTGTTTTGTTGGACCGAGCACTGACCGCTTGAACAGCCCCGTTACTCAAACAGAAGAGCAAGATGCGTTGTCAACAGGTGAATCGGTAAGACCGAAGATCAGAGGTGTGGACTTAAGTCACGTGACTTGGACTCAAGTCAGACTCAAGTCACCTAAAACAATTTATGAAATTATAGAACGTGTTGTGTGAAACTGCGCCTCTGCCTTCTTTCTCTACATTTTTTTAAAAAACTATTGAAATGGTTTTTAAATTTGGTGAAGAGCTCATTATGTGTTGCGCATTTCATCCGTTTCTTTAACGCTATCACTCACTGCTTCCCCGGTGCCACCACGGCTGACAAATTTAAAAAAACTCCAGGACCTGATGCCGTCGCTCCCGTCCTCCATCACAAGAGTGATAGTCCATGTCGGAACAAATGACACAGCTCTTCACCAGTCTGAGCTGACAAAATCAGATTTTAACCGTCTTCTTAACTTTTTAAAGCAGTGTGGAAAGTCTGTTTTTATCTCTGGTCCCATTCCCACAGTTGGTTGCGGTGCTGGCCGCTTCAGTAGAATCCTTGGCCTCCACGACTGGCTCCAGTCCGCCTGCAGGGCTCACCGTGTGTGTTATGTGGATAATTTTAATATTTTCTGGCAAAGAATGTCTCTTTTTAAGACAGACGGACTTCACCCAAACAAACGGGGCTCAGAAATGTTAGCTGCTCACATACAGCATGTGGTGCGGTCCACACATGACTTACGTGAATGACTAATCATTCATGCAGCACACCTGGACACACCACCGCTCACTGAACAGATCTCTGCCTCACTGCCACAAACAACTGTCTCCACCTGCTGGCATGTAAAGCCGTCTGCTCCCAGCGCTGTTCCAAAGACTTCTATTCCTGTCATCATCACGCATAGACCAGTAAACCAAAATGTGCACATCCAACACAGAAATATTAGTAATCTCTTAAGGATTAGGACAACTGCACCAACTCCAGCACCCAGAACAAACTCATTTAAAATGGCTCTCTTCAATGTGAGATCAAGTAAGACTTTTATCTTAAATGATTTTATCTTGTCTGCAAATCTAGATTTTATGTTTTTAACTGAATCCTGGTTGCAAATGAATGACTATATCCAGCTAGCTGAACTGTGTCCGCCTCAATATGATTGTTTTAGTCAACCGAGGGTCAGTGGTCGTGGTGGTGGGCTAGTGAGCGTGTATAGGGAAAATTTAAAATGTCATCAAGTACGCTGTGATGAATTTAACTCTTTTGAAGTTCTCACTCTTAAAGTTGGAGGGCTGCAACCTGTCATATGTTATAATTTATCGCCCCCCCCAAAACTGCCTGGAGGATTTTTATCAGAACTTCCTGAATTTTTATCTACTCTGGTTTTAAATTATGACAGAATTGTTCTTTGTGGCGATTTTAATATTCATGTTGATGACCCAAACAATGTTAATGCAACTGACTTTTTAAATATGGCCACTTCTTTTAACTTCAAACAACATGTCAAAGGGCAAACACATAACCGTGGTCATACACTGGACTTGGTTTTTACCCTGGGTGTCAGCATTTCCTCTGGTCATATCTGACCACAGATGTATTGTTTTTAGCTGCGATTCGCCTGTTACTCATGCCGCCTCACCAAGCTCCGTGTGTTCTCGCATCTTTAATGAACAAAGTGTTTCAAAGTTTTGCGCATTCTTTCAGAGCCAAAGCCAACACCTGTCTGATTCCAACACCAACAATCTGGTCGATCACTTCAATCATATCTGCTTGTCGTCACTAAATATTACTGCTCCTCTGAAGGTTAGGCCTACGTCTAAAGCTAGTAAGCAACCCTGGATAAATGACAGCATTCGCAGCCTAAAAAGGGAATGCAGGAAAGCAGAGCGCAGGTGGAAAAAATCCAGTCTCCAAGTCCATTAACTCAGTCTGAAGGATTTATTAATTAACTACAATAAAATGGTTAAGGATGCGAGAACACACTATTTTTCTGAACTCATTACTACACATAAACACAATCCCAGGTTTCTGTTTAAGACTGTGGATCAGCTGGTAAACCAACCCCTCCTTGGCCTCAGCTGGAAGTAATCATGACTGTGAATTGTTTTTATCTTATTTTACCAATAAGGTGGTGTCAATCAGAGCCTCTATTACCCCTGCGGCCTCTTACTCAGAGGTTCCTCACCAGCAACAAGAGAGTTTTAACCAGTTTTATCCCATCGAATTGTCTGAGCTTTTAAAAACAGTATCACAAATGAGAGTGTCCTCCAGCCCACTTGATGTAATACCTACAAAGTTTTTACTGAAAGTAACAGATTCTTGTTTTCAACAGCTCCCTATCTACTGGTTGTGTCCCTGATTATTTTAAAACGGCTTGCGTGAACCCACTTTTAAAGAAACCTGGTTTAGAACGTTCCCTCCCACATAATTTTAGACCAATTTCAAAACTGCCTTTATTGCAAAGATTCTAGAAAGAATTGTGTCCAAACAGCTGCTTACTGTGCTGGAAAATAACAAATTATTTGAAAAGTTTCAGTCTGGTTTTAGGAAGTACCACAGCACTGAGACTGCCCTGCTTAAAGTCACCAATGACCTTTTAATGTCTGCTGATGAAGGCATGTGCTCAGTCCTTGTACTCCTGGACCTTAGAGCTGCTTTTGACACCATTGATCACAACATCATGTTAGACAGACGGAGGCACTGGGTGGGGATCTCTGGTACTGCCCTAGAATGGTTTTCATCCTACCTGTCAAATAGGAAGTTTTGTGTGTCTGTAAACAACTATGTCTCCTCATTCTGTCCAGTTAAATATGGTGTGCCTCAGGGGTCGGTCTTAGGACCCACTTTGTTTTCCTTGTATCTGCTTCCCCTTGGACATATTATCCATAAACATGGCATTTCTTTTCATATTTATGCTGATGACACACAAATATACTTGCCCGTCAGATCCACAGACCCTGGAATGCTGAGTTCACTTAACAACTGCCTTTGTGAAGTTAAAAAATGGATGTCAAATAATTTCCTCCAGCTGAACTCAGACAAAACAGAAATCCTGGTCATCGGGTCCCAGCAGATGGCAAATCAAATACTGCCATCTGCTGGTTCCCTAGTAAATCACATTAAGACTGTGGCAAAGAACCTTGGTGTTTGGTTTGATAGTAATTTAAATTTCGAGCAGCACACCACAAAGCTTGTTCAATCATGTTTTTATCAACTTAGAAATATAGCTAAAATTCGATCAATGTTAACTTTTAAGGACACCGAGACCATTTTACATGCCGTCATCTCATCACGCCTGGATTATTGCAACAGCCTTTTCACCTGTTTAACCCAAAAATCTATTGATCGACTCCAGACTGTCCAGAACTCAGCTGCCAGGCTTTTAACCAGAACAAAGAAATATGACCACATTACTCCTATTTTAGCTTCATTACACTGGCTCCCAGTATGTTTTAGAATTGACTTTAAAATTCTATTGATCACTTTAAAGCTCTTCATGGCCTCTCGCCTTGTTATATTTCTGACGTTTTAGTCCCATACGCACCAGCACGTACCTTGAGATCCTCGGGCAGAGGTCTGTTGTCTGTTCCAGAGTCTCGACTGAAAACTAAAGGGGACAGAGCGTTTGCTGTCAGGGCCCCGAGGCTCTGGCCGAGGAAATCAGGTCGGAGTCAGTGAACCCTTTTAAGTCCCTTCTTAAAACATACTTTATAGGAGAGCTTTTCCCGATTTTATTTGACTCTATTTTATCCCTTTTATTTTATTGTATTTTACAAATTTTATATTTATCTTAAATGTGTATTTTAGTCTTTTCAATGTTTTCATGCTTTTATCTTGGGTATTATTGTCTTTACACTTGTAAAAGCACTTTGTAACTTCTTTTTGAAAAGTGCTCTCCCTCTGGTGTATGAGCTCTGCCCTTCAGCTGAATCACTCTGTTATTCTTACTTTTAATAAATATCACAAAGTCACCCGTTAGTTGTAACGTCTTTATTTTTTAATTTCTTCAGAAGGAAATTTACCATTTCCACCACAAATCAGTAGGTGTAACCTCAGACGGCCAATCACATGTACCACGACATGTTGTTCACCATCATCCCGTCAGGTCTATGAGGGCGCTGGATTGAAAATAAATCTATAAAGTTTTATAAATTACTCTCAAAATTGGTACCACAACCTGGGGCTGCATTAAGGCTGCAGTATCAATGAGCATCGCTGCTGTCAATTTTGGAGACGTTTGTCTATGATGATCTTGGTAAAGAAAGATTTTTGGTTTAGAAACACAAACAGAACAAAAGGACGTACAGTCACAGACGTCACTACATAGATCTGAAGATCATTTTCTTTCTAACCTGCTCTGACTCCAGGACATGAACCTTCCCGTCTCCATGGTGATGACCCCGCCCACCCAAGCTGAGGAGGGATTGGATGATGGTTGCCATGTTGTCATCACCATTGTGTTTTCAAAGGAGCATGATGAAAGTGAAACGTCCTGTTTTGATCCTGCAGTCACAAGTGTTCTGAGGATCCTGTAGATCCAGCTCTGGGACAAACACA